TACAGTAGAATAATTTCAGATTTTATATAGTTATAGTCAGGGTCACTGAATAATTTATTTAGTGTCCAATTTATTTATGACCTCCAAAACTGAACATCAGAATGCTTTCAGACAACAAATGAAACACACAACATATCATAGAAAGCAAAACATGAACAGCTGAACAGGGTGAAAAACTCAAAGGAGCATTATGGCCTAAGGCAGCATCATGAAATGTAGGGCGTGTAAAAAGCAGGAAGTAACTTTAAAAAACAGTTCTAAGAAGAAGCCAATCAAAATATGAAACCATAACATCAGGTCACGAGAGACACAACACAAAGAAGACAATCAGCTTAAAGCTGTCAATCTGAAAGTTAGTCTTCCTTGAAACATCTTTGTTTCCTCATACTCGTGACTTTTTAAATCTCTTGTCAACAGCTTCTTTCTGAGATGAATGTGGTAAATGGAGGATGTGCTCATGCATTGGGAATTTTGAGTCAACAAGCACTTTGAAATAAGCCAAAGATAAGAAGTGTTCCCATCCATCCCATATGACCTGAACACAGCATGAGTCCTTCAGGTGTTGCACATTTCTGTTGAACAGAGGCTTTTTACATATTGTTGATACAATGAAACAAGTGAGCTACAACTCTGTAGTTTCAGTGCATTTACTGAGTAAATAGAAATGAACGTGGCACTGAACTATTTAGACCTAATGCAGTGATACTGTATTATCCCACACATCATTTGATGAACATGTTGAAAATTTGATGTCACCAAAAATGTCCTAATGTTTTAAAATGGTGTCTGCAGGCTGATTAAAGATTTCACTGGGTGACTTTCCCGTAAAGTTTCTCCAAAACAGAAGAGTAAAATGACTTTAATTTTGTAAGGCCATAGTGAGTGTCATTCAGAACAGGACTACACTTAAATTTTCAGCAAACCTATCAAGGAAAGATTCATATATAAGACAGTGCTGCAGTGCATTTTGATGTTGGATATTTCTCTTTAATATTCTCCAAAATTGTACAGTAGAATAATTTCAGATTTTATATAGTTATAGTCAGGGTCACTGAATAATTTATTTAGTGTCCAATTTATTTATGACCTCCAAAACTGAACATCAGAATGCTTTCAGACAACAAATGAAACACACAACATATCATAGAAAGCAAAACATGAACAGCTGAACAGGGTGAAAAACTCAGGAGCATTATGGCCTAAGGCAGCATCATGAAATGTAGGGTGTGTAAAAAGCAGGAAATAACTTTAAAAAACAGTTCTAAGAAGAAGCCAATCAAAATATGAAACCATAACATCAGGTCACGAGAGACACAACACAAAAAAGACAATCAGCTTAAAGCTGTCAGTCTGAAAGTTAGTCTTCCTTGAAACATCTTTGTTTCCTCATACTCGTGACTTTTTAAATCTCTTGCCAGCTTCTTTCTGAGATGAATGTGGAAAATGGAGGATGTGCTCATGCATTATTTATGACCTCCAAAACTGTACATTAGAATACTTCCAAATTTGACAAGTCAAGGGCATTTTGAGCAGAATTCTACTGGATTCCTGCAATTCAACAATGAAACAGTACAAGAAAACTCCACAGGTGGCCTTGGAGTCAGAGCACCTGTGGGCGTGTACCGTATGTGTGCAGGGTCTTAAAACGTCCCAGAATAATTTAAATTAGCTGCAACTCAACTACATACATTTTAGTACAGCTGACATTTTAACACATCAGTGTTACAATGAAAAGGGCAGGTCTGAATAAATACCTCTTCATCTTTTTTATTTGTGAAATAGTTATGTAGTTTTAATGAAGCAAAGACAAGACCTCTCTGGCACAGTGCCATTATTCACTTCACAGTGGCAGGATCTGTGGTTGCTGTATTTGAATCCAATAAATTTGGGTGAAGTCATACTCACAGCACTGCATTGATCACCCTTACTGTCAATGCATCATCTTGTTGGACTGCTTTACATACAATGAAATTGCTTTGCTATTTTTCCCCAGAGGGACGCACCACTGGGTGCCCCGCACCCAGCGTTTGTTTGGGGGTCAAATAGTTGGCCAGGCCCTCGTTGCTGCTGCCAAATCAGTCGGAGATCATTTCTATGCTCATTCTCTCCACTGCTACTTTGTACGAACAGGTAAGATTTAGCATCATTTTAAAAGAAAAAAATAATAAATAAATAATAATAATAAAAAAAATTAAAAGTGCTGGCCAACAATGGTGCAAACCAAATGTTGAAAAGCAGGCTCATAGTTGATGCAAATGATCTTTGATAGAATGAATGAACCTACAGAAGACTATAACAGCAGTTACAGGCTTGAAGTTTGTTTATTCATGGGATAAACCCCTTGAGTTGTCACAACTCGTTTTCGAGGGGGTCCCACACACACATCATTTAAACAATACAACAGAATAAGAGACAATACAATACAATACAATACAATAAAATACAAACAATGCAATAGAAAATAATATAACAAGACAGGACAAACAAACAGAAGTCATTCAAACAAGTTGCAACCACAGTTTGGACAGATGTTCAATAAGGTATGACAGATTCAATGAAAGCATGAACAAGTTGTTTCCAAATAGAAAGACAGGGCTTGTTTAAAACAGCTTAGGGATGAAGAAGATCTAATACCCACAGGGAAGTGATTTGAATCATTTGGAACTTTAAACATAAATGCTTTTCTACCGATTGATTTACTAGTACGTGGAACAGAAGAATAAGGTTGAGTGTAGTGTCTGGTTTGATAATTGGAGGTAAGTTGGACAAAATATTGTTTAAGATAAGGGGGGTAGTTAAAGTAAATATGTTTAAATATAAATTGCAGCCAGTGAATCTGTTGTCTTATATGTAAAGATGGAAATTGAAGAGTCTAGTACATTGAACAATGATGAGTATGATAGGGACATTCAAGTATAAATCTACAGATTCTATTATACACATTTAAAAGGGGAGCTAGCACACATTTAGATGCAGAAATATACACGACATCACCGTAATATAATATTGGAAGAATAAGTCGATTAACAAGTTTCTTTCGGACACTACGAGTAAAGCAGTTTCTGGACCTATGTAGTATATTAATTCGACAATTAACCTTAGGTACAGTACAGTATGATCAATGTGCGTTTTAAATGATAAGGTGGGATCTAGCCATACACCAAGATATTTGATTTTATCAACCTTCTGCAGAGGAGTACCGTCTTTACAAGATATAAGACAAGGGCCTGCAGTGGATTTCAATTTGCAATTTGTGCCAAAGATCATGGTGAAAGATTTTTTCTTGTTAAGAAGTAGTTTGTTGTGCAAGAGCCAATCTTCAAGAATATTGAAGTCAGATTGAAGGGTGGCTTGAACTTCAGATAAGTCAGATTTCGATGTGTAAATTTCATCTGTATACAGTTGCGCAAAGGAGTTAATGAGGATGGATGGTAAATCATTAACGTATAAAGAAAAAAGAAGGGGTCCCAAGGTTGATCCTTGGGGCACACCCCTTTCCTGAACCAACAAGTCGGAGCATTTACCATCTAAGACAACACATTGTTTCCTGTTATGGAGATAGGAGTTAAACCACAAAATTGCATTACTAGAGAGACCTATGTTATGAAGCTTATCTAATAACAAACGGTAAACAAAATTAAATGCTTTGGTTAAATCAATGAATATTGCACCAGTAACTTCACCTATACCTGCTGCAGTAAAAATATCATTTGTTATTTTCAACAAGGCAGTAGTTGTTGAGCGATTGGATCTAAAGCCAGACTGAGAAGGTGATAGAATATTATTAGTCTTGAGGTATTGTGACAGTTGATAATAGACCAGTTTTTCAAAAAATTTAGCAATTGAACAAGTAATAGATATAGGTCTATAATTATTACAGTCAAGAACATCTCCTGCTTTATGGAGTGGAGTGATTCGTGCAGATTTCCAAATGGTAGGTAATTCACTTGTTAAAAGTGAGAGATTAAATAAATCTGCAGGAGGATACATAAGAACATTGGCAGCTAGTTTAATATATCTATTTTCTAGACCGTGAAGTCCAGCACTACTGTTTCTATTGGATTCCATAATGGCACTCAGTACTTCAGTTGGCATGATTTTTCTGAATGAGAAAGAAGAGCTGCAAGAAGGTGGAGTGTTACCACACAAGTCACTGGTATATGAAACACAAAGGAGAGTAGAACAGACAGAAGAAAAATGCTGATTTAGTGCTTGAGCAACAGAAAGAGTCGTGTAAAATTGTATCATCAACTCTTATTTGATTAATAGTATGCTTTTCTTTGGTGTTTGTAATAGATTTAATTTTCTGCCAAAATTGTTTTGGATTTTTGAAATCAGAGTTCAAACAATCATTATAATAATTAGACTTGGCATTACGGGTTTTGACTTTACTCTGGTTTCTAAGTTGACCATGCTTTATCCCTCTGCCTAAAGAGACTAATAAGTTAAGGGGTGATCCAGGGTAGATGTTCACCCCTGACCTTAACCATTTGCCATGGAGCATGTCTGTCAAGCACTTCATTATACTCTGTGTTAAAAAAAAGTCCCAGGCATCATGTACATTTTCTTATGCTGCCTAATCTTGATCAACTTTGGTGGTGATTTGGGGAGTTTAATTTTCCATACACAATAAATGATTGAATGATCACTGTTACAGTTACAGTGACCCATGTGCTTCACCTTACAATTAGTTTATCAGTGTTTGTGAACATCAAGGCCTCTATCACAGATTCTGACTGACTGCAGTCCTATCAGAATCAATGGAATGACCTGGTAAATTAGCCACAGTCAGTCCCTGACAGGTATTGTGTCCTCACAGCTGTCTGTTGGGTGTTTTTTAGGGGATCCAAAGGTTCCAGTGCTGTACCAGGTGGACCGCACACGAGATGGTCGCAGTTTTACAGTACGCTCTGTGAAAGCCATCCAGCACGGGCACCCGATATTTATCTGCCAAGCGTCCTTCCAACTGCTGCAGCCAAGTCCCCTGCAGCACCAGTTCACCATGCCACAGGTCCCTCAGCCTGAAGACCTCCTCACTGTAGAGGAGCTTATTCATCTTTATCTCAGGTAAAGCTGCCAAGACTAGTTGATAATGAATTAGTCTGTCGACATGACATTAATTGAACTATTTTCTATTATCGAATAATCTTTGTAGTCATTTTTCAAGTGAAAATTCCAAATGTTTTCTGGTTAAAGCTTCTCAAATGTGATGAGTTGCTGCTTTTCTTTATCATGGTTTTATAAACTGAATATTTGAAGTTTAGCCCTGTTGGTCTGTATTTTTTTTCTCATGTTTGACAGTAAACCAGACCTGGCAGATAAATCAAGACAAGGCCTTAACAAACTACTGGCTAATGAGGTCCCCATTGAGATAAAGCCAGTCAACCCACCACATTTTTACAGACATGCTGCAAGTGAGCCGAAGAAGCTGTTCTGGGTGCGAGCACGAGGATATATTGGTAAAATGCATTTAATGCACATTTGCATTGCATTACATGACAAATATTAAATCATCTCCATACTACACTGTGTAATGGGAGGGTATTCTCAGAACTGAATAGCATGGTTCCTGAACATTGCGTTATATTTGCCCAATTCTTGAATTTAAATGAAACAGTAAGCTGAGAGTCATCTGTGATACTGAATGACTGCAGCAGCCAAAGTAGGGATACAACACAATTACATATAGTCAGGATATAGAAATAGGGCAGATTGTGAGAGTAGTAGTAAATAATTTCAGTGCTATGCAAAATAATAAAATTATCCCAAATATATGCAATATGAAAATAAATATACCATGGAAAATACAATCCAAACAGTGGTTGTTAATGCATTTTATTTGTGTGTTTATACAGGTGAAGGCAACATGAAGCTGCATTGCTGCGTTGCTGCTTATGTATCAGACTTTGCATTCCTGGGCACGGCGCTGCTGCCTTATCCCAACTACAGGGCGCACTTCTCAGCCTCCCTGGACCATGCCATGTGGTTCCACAACACCTTCCGCAGTGATGAGTGGATGCTGTATGAGTGTGAGAGCCCATGGGCAGGTCAGGTTGTTGTTCATTTCTGTCTGCTGTACTATTTTGTTCTGTCTGTCTCAGCACCTCAATTTGACCTTTTTCCACTGCAGGAACTTTAAGACCCATAACCCGATGCTTTGCATAACCTGAACCTGTAAAATCCCTTCAGATTTAGTTTCTGCTTTGTTTTTCCAGTGTGTTACAAACAAACCTGACTGTTTCTAATTAATGTCATTGAAATGTGACACTGGAACCAGTGTTGTCATTTTATTTCCTGCTTGGTTAGTGAGTGTGCCTTGGCAAGGAGTGCAGTTTAGCAACTGGAGAAAGTGTTGAACATAAATATTTTCTTTACCATTTACAGGTAATGACTTCTCTCCCCCGCAGTGGGGGGACTACAGTTGGAATATAAGCAGAACCTGTGACACCCTTAGTTATGGGTCATTCAGAGCTGAGTATGTGAGTTGCGCCCATGAAAAATTTGTTGACTCTTGTTTGGTGTTGTTTGGTGGATTGGACGATTGAGGTGTGAAGAAACAAGACATATTGGCTTTTTAACAATGTATTCATTTAACAAACAGGAGCCTCAGTAGCTTGTGGAAGAACCATTCACAGCCACAACAGCCTGGCACCACCTCATGCTGGTCACCAGCCTGGTCACACACTGCTGTGGGATGGCATCCCAACGTGGTTGTGTTGGTCACTGACACGAACAGCACGCCCAAGCTGATCCCACAAGTGTTCAATGAAGTTGAGGTCAGGACTGCTGGCAGGCCATTCCATCCTCTCCACTCCCAAATTCTGGAGGTAGTCTCTGATAAACCCCGCTCTGTGGGGGCAAGCGTTGTCATCTTGGAGGAGTTGGGTCCCAGACTGTGGAGATATAGGATTGCCACTCCTTGCAGAATTTCATCTCAATATCTCTCTGTATTGAGATTGCCTCCAATGATGACAAGCCTCATTTTTCCAGTGAGGGAGATGCCGCCCCACACCGTCACACTGCCTCCACTAAAAGATGTTTCTCTATTGGTGCAGCAATCAGCAAAGTGTTCTCTGCGTTTTCTCCACACTTTGACCCTACAATAGAACTGCCATAGGCAGAATCTGGACACATCGTTGAACATAACGTTCTTCCACATGTTCAGGTTCTGGTGCACGTGTTGCCGACACCAGCTTAAACCTCATACGGGCCTGACGGTGAAGGGCAGTCATGGCAGGCCTCCTGGCAGCCCTATGAGACCGGAAATTAGCTGTGTGCAGTCTGTTCTGGATTGTCTGGGCAGAGAGCCGTTGGCCATATCGTCCTGCAAACCTTGACTGCAAATCTGTAGAAGACTGCCTACTGTTCCTAAGTGCTAACAGGATGAGGAAACGGTCTCCTTGGGGTGCCGTCTTCTTGGGACGCCCACTCCACGGCCTGTCTCTGACATCCCCAGTTATATGGAACTTGGCCTTCACTTTGCAGATGGCACTAGGGCTCACTCCAAATAATGCCGCAACTTGGTTTTGCGGAACACCAGTTTCAATTTGCCCTATCGCATGGGCCCTATCCAGATCAGTCAAACATGGCATGCCGATTCTTGGAGCAGACACCAACTAAAAACGTTTACAACATGTTTCTCTTCCATAGTGTCAGCTGAGTGCAGACTGTCATCTCTATTGAGCTCTGCCCTCCTCTGCCTTTCTTTTGTTCAGTTCTCCAAACATCCTCATTACTGATTCATGTGACTTTTGTTTTTGCTCAGTAATGGATGTGACTTGAAATATAGCCAAGTATGATACTTGTGATAAAAAGTATTTAAGTAAAAGTAAAATTAGAGGTTTCTTAAAATATTCCAAAAAGTACAAGTACTCACAAAAAAACAACTATGTTACAATAACAGGAGTAAATGTAATTCATTACTTCCTCCTCTGGGGCATATTCACAAAGCTTCCTAGTACAAAGAGTTCCCAGTGACAACATTTTAAAATAAATTCTTATAATTATGATGTTTTGTAAAATGTTCCCCTTACAGTTAAGACTAAATTGATCTCTGTACATTTCTGAATATTATGTATATTTTGTATGCTACTGTTGTAGCTTAATGCTTACTGTTCATTTCAGCTGTGCTTATTAAAAGCCTGGACACCGATGACACTTATCTGCATTCTGCTTTAGGCCTAACATGTGGTTTGTTTTGTGTCCGACAGGGGGCAGCAGGGGACTTGTTCAGGGCCGACTGTGGAGGAGAGATGGGGTGCTGGCTGCCTCGTGTTCCCAGGAGGGTGTCCTGAGGGTGAAACCAGTCACAGAGCCCAGCAAACTATAAGCACATCCATGAGATTTCTTTCAGTTTTAATTATTTGTAACTGTAATTACAGAAATATTGTTAAGTTTTATACATAAAATGATTAATATAATGATAATAAATTAATTATTGTTTTATTAAACGTGTTTTTTTCAGCCAATAAAGACTAAAAGGTTATAATGAATGAATGTTTGTCATTTATTAGATGAGACGTGTTTATAACTTTATCACACTTGTGCAAAATGTATTCCATTACTTTGAATATTTATTAATGGTCAAAATTCAACAATGTCAAGACCCAATTCTGCTGCAGGGAGTTAGCTGTAAGTTTTAAAGTGTGACAGTTCTGACAGGTCACATATTACTATGACAAAATGAGAAGTATAAAGTATGGCCATTTGTTTGATGACACTTTTGGAAAGGCAATATTTACGTTATTAATAGGCTAATAATGGAAAAACTGCTTGCCACTGGGCTTGGTTGTGAAAAGAGGTAACCAAAAAATTGAACAGTCCAAAAGTTCCACAAAGTAGAAACTTAAGATGGCACAACATTTGTATACCTGTCCAGCAAATGCAACTACCAGCAGCTGTCCCATGGGTTTAAGTAAAGATCTGCCTGTTAACGAGAATACAGCAGGTGACTGGAATGTAGAGCAGGACAGTGAAGGAAAGCAACAGCCTGATTCACCAGTGGACAGTGGAAAATGTAAATTATTGTTGAGAAGGACGGTCAAGAAAATGTACAACCTGACCCTGTAATGGAGAATGAAATAGATACAATCACTGTAGAGCCAGACATCTGTGAATGTACAGCCTGATCCTCCAGGAATGACTTTAAAAAGGGAAATGATTGTGGAACAAGACATAACTTCGTCCACCTGCAATAGCTGACAATTTCCACAAGGTAGCAGGCTTGATAAGAGCATAATCAGAGTCTGAATAAATAAGCATACGGAAATTATTGTATAATACAGCTACATTTGACACGGCTAAGAAAACGTTACACAAAGATGATCATTAGATACACACTGTAAGCTTTGTGTCAGTATGTATTTTTCCACCCACCCTCTTGCTGCCTGCCGCACTACTTGGTTGTTATGTGGTTAGCGCCCTTGGTTACCACTTTTTTTCCCATCATGCATCACTGCTAGAAGAGCTGTAAGGTAACTCGGGCAACGCTTTTTCATTAACTCTATTTTACTGTATGGATAGGAAAAAACTCGTTCGTGGCAAACGGTGAACGCCAATTTAAGGTAATGGACGCCAGGTAACGCTTAACTTAGCTATTAACTAACGTCACAGGGCAAACGTAACGTAACGAATAACTAAGTAGCTATGTTAGCTATGTTTGCTAACGGTATGCTAGCCTTATGTTTACCTGTTACGTTACTTAAGTATTCACGTGAATGTCACTTAAAGCTCACAGAACAACTCAGTTCATATTAAGCTAAGATAGTAGCGTTTATAATGTAACCTGGCGTTATTCATGACAGTTCATAGCGAATGAAATGGGATCTAACTTGGTGGTACAACGCGTTTCCAGGTGTATGGATGCACATAAGAGGCAAGTTTGATGAGTGAATCCGATAAAGAATGGAGAGGGAACAGCACAACATTGTCGTCTTCAATTCGTCGAAAAGAGAGCTGTTTACCACGAACAATGGATACAAGTCCATGCACAAAAGACTACGAGCTCAATGGAAAATCCAAAGGTAAGTGTTTGTGGTATAACACTAATTATTTCTGCGAACAGTGGCTACTTGCTTTGTGTTGGCTGGCACAGCACTTGACTTGGTATCAAAGTAATTCCTGCAAAATAAATGCTGTCTCCCCCAGCATGAAGGAAGAGCTGTCTTTGGAGAAGCTGAAGGGTGTCAAATTGTGGATAACTGCAGGCCCAAGGGAGAAGTTCACGGCATCAGAGGTGATGTATGAATAGAAGAAAAAAAGCTTGCATTTTTTTAAAGTAAAAAAAAAAATAGCATAAACATGATTTATACATTTCCATGTAGTAGCTGTTGGCGTTGGAGATAGTAGAAGTGGGCAGGGTTGGGGAAGCCACTTTGAAAGTTTAGCTTTGCAAGCTGCCAGTTAATTTATACTGGAAGAAGTTGAACTAAAAATTACAACAAAATATGATACAAAAAGGTCACATGCCAGCATTCAGTGTAACTCAGCTGAGTTTATTACAAAACATGTCTACTTGTTCACAGGTCATACGTGAACCAAAATAATAATATACCCCACTATTCATGGGAAAATGCAAGGAATTCCAGGTTTGTTTTTGTGTACAGTGTCCATCAGTCAGACACCAGCCTCCAAAAACTAGAGTTCAGCAGGATTACTCAGTTAGTTAAGTAACTTTTAAAATAGCATGCAGCAACCTCTCTGAACAATTGTTAATAAAGAGCAATAATCCATGCTTAAGACTAATATATTCAAGTTTAGTTTTACAAATTCTGCTTGACAAATGTGTCACAGGGGCGTGCTCTAACAGCTGCCAGGATGAAAGACAGGGTTGGTCATAGAGGGTTCAATTACAGTAGAGAATCATTGGTAAAAGAAACATTTTAAAGATAATTCCTTTCATTTTAAATTAGTTAACAACAGAAAAATGTCAAAAAAATAAATAAAGTAAAAAAGTCATTCAACTACTTGAATCACTATGCACAAATGACTGTAGTTTAATTACCAGCAAGCTACTGCAGTAACTAGTAACTTTTAAAGTGCTGCTTTTAAAATGTGCAGTCAGGATTTCACACGTCTATTTTCACATTGTCCCATTTTATTATAGCTTGAGGTACTGAAGCACTACCTGGACGGAGGAGGAAATGTCCTGGTCATGCTCGGTGAAGGAGGAGAAATGAGATATGACACCAATATCAACTTTCTTCTGGAGGAGTTTGGAATAATGGTCAACAATGGTGAATATTTATATCTGTTGAAAAAGACAGTTGACATTACCTGTGCAGTAACAGGTATTTTTGTTATGTTTGTATTAATTTCTGTGGTGCCGTTTTTTTTCTCCCTATCACTGCCGCAGATGCTGTTGTGAGGAATGTGTATTACAAATACTTCCATCCTAAGGAGGCACTTGTGTCCAATGGTGTATTGAACAGGTTTGCCCTCAAGGCATATATTTTTATCACGCACACCACTTGTATACTGTATATTGCAGTACAGTTGTCCCACAGTGTTTGTAGCCTGTATATGTGTATTTAAAGGAGCAGTATGTAGGAGTTAGTGGTGTCGAGCGGTGAGGACTGCAGATTGTAACCAGCTGAAACTTCTCCCATGTGCCAAGGGTGAACTCCTTGTTATGATTCCTTCAGTGTTCAGGAGGTTTTACAGGGAGCCAAATTATCCACTGAAGGCTCCAAAACTAACACACCAGGTGATTTAAACCTGTAAAAACACTGATTAAAGTAGTTTTACATTATGGTTCTCCTCCTCTGTTTGGCTCGTCAGCCACTCCCCAGCACCTGCTAATGTGTTCTCTCCTCTTTTCTCTGATAACTTAAGATCCAGACGCTCAGGAGGTTTTTACCAGGGGCCAAATTATCTGCAGTGGTCCTTTCCTTTACAAAACGAACACACCCTGTGATTTAAACTGCTAAAAACTCTGAATAAAGCAGTTTAACAGTAAAAATTTGTGTATTTCTGACACCGTTCAGCTTGTCGTGGAAGAGCTGCTAACTACAGAAGCTGACATGAACACAATATGGTTCTATCTAGAGCCAGTGTTTGGTTTGTCTGTTCTGGGCTACTGTAGACACATGGCAGTGCAACATGTTGTTGACTCCGTGGACAAGAAACTGCTCTCTGTGTAGATATAAATGGCTCATTCTAAGGTAAAGAAAATATGACAATTTAAATTTTTTAGTTGATATATATAAAGTCCAAAAGTTTCCGTAGAACTGAATCAGTTACGTCCCAACCCATACTGAAATTGCCATGGTACAATGGCTGATGTTCCTGTGAGTAACTGGAAACCAATTATATGCTGAACATACTTATCATATTCCATTTCTGCCAGTATATTCCTCTAAATCTTACACACTGCACCTTTAAATGTAGATGTAATTAATGTAATACTCTTAAATAGCATCGTTTGTACGCTGATATTCATCATAGTAACAATTTTGCCTTTTTCTTGTTTAGAGAGATAAGTCGGGCTGCTGGCAAAGTGGTCACAGGAATTATTGATGATGAAAATGTTGGAAACAATGCACAGTAAGGGATTTGCACTGATATTCTATTTATCTATTTATCTATTTATATTTACTATATTTAATGTTTTAGAGGGTTTCTGAACACAAGCTTTTCTGTCTTTATTTGTGTAGGGCACTCACATTTGTGTACCCATATGGAGCCACACTGAGTGTAATGAAGCCTGCTGTGGCTGTTCTTTCAACTGGCTCCGTCTGCTTCCCCCTCAACAGGCCAGTCCTGGCCTTCCATCAAGGAAAGGTCAGAGGCACAATATAATTTTCATACACATTCCCAGACCATATAACACTGGTGTATAGTTGTGAGTTGATGTTGACAGAAGTCTTGTGTCTTATAAAGGAGGCTGGCAAGCTGGTAGTGTTGGGTTCCTGCCACATGTTCAGTGATCAATACATAGACAAAGAGGAGAACAGTAAAATCATGGTGAGTGCAGCTACTTTTTTTGGTTAACATATCAGAAGGGTAGAAGAGTATTCTGCTCTTCTGGGGAATTTGTTATGCATCAATTTTTGTGCACCACAGCCTGTCATACTTTTTCATTGCAGGATGTCGTGCTTCAGTGGCTCATGGCTGATAATATTCAGCTGAATCAGATTGATGCAGAAGACCCAGAGGTGAGGAGATATACTTGACAGGAGATCAGCATCACAAATATGGTCTTTTAAGTTAGCGGACATCCATCTTGTCCTTTCGTCCCCTAGATCACAGATTACACCATGTTGCCAGACACAGGGTGCCTGTCGGAACAGCTCAGAGTGTGCTTACAAGAGGGTGATGAAAACCCCAGGGACTTCACCTCTTTATTCGACATGTCATTGTTCAATTTATCAACTGACACTTTACCCCAAGTCATCAGGTGAGAATGCAAAATATGCATGAGGAGGCTATCCATGTATCACTGCTGTTTTTTCTTCACAGCTAATTATTTTTCTGTAAATGTTTTCTGCAGCGCTTACAAGCAACTCAATGTCAAAGATGAACCACTTCAGTTGATCACACCACAGTTTGAGACGCCTCTGCCTCAGCTCCAACCTGCTGTAAGTTCAGTCCTGCACTCCTGTCCCAGCCAGTTATCCCACACAATTCATTTCTGGAGTCATATACAAATGAAATTTTGCCCACGAGTTTAAACCCAGTGGTGTGTGTTGTCTCATCTTTTAGGTCTTTCCACCAGCCTTAAGTGATCTGCCTCCTCCCATGCTGGACCTGTTCGATCTAGATGAGACATTCTCTTCTGAGAAAGTGCGCCTGGCACAGCTCACTAATAAATGTAAGTTTAGTACTCCATTTAACAAAGTCATTAACTGGTTAGGTTTAGGACTGTTATTAAGTTCTAGTTTATCTGTCATTTAATTTGATTCCGCTCTGTTTACAGGTACAGACGATGATCTTGAATTCTACGTGCGTAAATGTGGTGAAATTCTGGGGGTGACTCCAAAGTTGGATAAAGATCAGAGGGATGCCAAGCACATCTTGGAGCACATTTTCTTTCAGGTTGTAGAGTTCAAGAAACTCAATCAGGTGAGAACGAATAAACTCTTAAAGCTGTAGTTTGTAACTTTTCATTTTTGCTGAAACTGTCAGCACACCCACACAGCATTACATGAGGCAGCATAAACAAATAATGTCCTTCCTCCTCCTAATCTCTAAGAATCCTCTATGACTCGCAGAAAACGAGCCGAGAGGTCTCTAGACTCTAGTCTTGCAGCTGTTGATCATGTTAATCCCTGCTCAAACTGTCGTCAAAAAGGTTAACCTAGGCAGCACTGATCAAATATGAATCAGGATTCTGTTACTACATTGCCTATTTCTCACCTCAGATGTTTTCAGAAACATTTTAGTGTACTGTTTAAAATTAGTTTGTGACCTGGCTGCCATGTTGGAAACAGCCAAGCACCGCCCACTAGCCGCAGCAAACTCTTAACAGCTGAAGAACACACTAAAATAGGTTTCTGAAAACATTTACTATGAGAAATAAGCAATGCAGTAACAGAATCTTTATTCATATTTCATCAGCGCTGCCGAGGTTAACAGTTTGACTGGAATTCTCAAGCAGTGATTGACAGCTGTGCTAGAGAGACTTCTTGGCTCTGATTGGTTGTTTTCATCTAGGTATGGTAATACCTAGAGAAGCAATTAAGGGAGCAGAATTAAATTTTTCCACAGGTCAAATGTTTCATGTACTGCTGTGTGGACATAAGTCAGTTTCACGAAATAAGGTTATTTTTATAAAAACATTACCGACATCTTTAGGAGAGATTCTGTTGAAGGCCTGGTCTGAAAACATGTTTTACCCCTTGTAGGAGCATGATGCTGATGCAGAAGCACCATTCACTCTGATGTGATTGGATTCAAGAAACATGTTAGCATTTTCATCTGTCTTTTCAATATACTGAAGCTAAGCAGATGTAAGTATATTCCGTCAGAAAAGGAGAATGTAAAAAGGGACCATTACAGCTGTCATGGAAGATGCAGTATCAGCATGGGTACTGTTTGTTTAACAAACTGTATATACAAGAGATGTGTTTTTATATCTTTCTAGAATTCATTTTGGAAGAAGAAAATGTACAATACACTTAAGCAAATAGTCAGATACTTTTATTTAAATATTTAAGCAAACTTTGTTAAAAGTGTAGAGCTCTCTGCAGGAATCTTCACACATGCATCCTGTTAAAAAAAAACAAAAAAAAACAAAAAAAAAAAACAAAAACAAATGTAGCGTTAGAAACAAGGATTTGCAGATTTTGCCAGATAGTGCAGTTAATGAAAGAAAGAAAACTAGGCAGCTTACCTTCACATGTACATCCAGTGTTTAAAATCCACTTTGATTCATCTGTGCAGACATAATCACGCACAGCTGAAAACCTTACACTTCTTCCTTTCAAAACTCTGAATTTTCTCCATGTTAAGGTTGTGTTTCAAGGGACATTCTAGGCCATGTCAGGGAGAAACTTCTGCTGGTGAATGTTGTGTGGATTGGGGTTTTGGACTCCATGTTGACTCCAGAGCACTGGACTCCATGCAGGGTATGGAGCCGTTTTCTGCTTTAATCAATGACACATCCCACGACATCTGAGGGGCAGTGAGATCACTGTATGACTGGTCAAAACAAGCAGCCTTTTTTGGCTTTTGAAGAAGCATGTGAGGAGTGGAGGACTGTCTGTGTGAAGGCACAGCCAGGTGACAATTGTCAGTCTCTTGAGTGTTCAAGTTGTTCATTGGAAAGGCCTGAGAGGGAGAACTGGGGTCTGATGACAGGCACAGAGAAGCCAGGATAGACAGCCTGGAGTCAGATCCTTCAGCCATTGTGTCATTTGACACTCTTGATGTGGACAGCTGTTCCAGCGACAAAGCAGACAGCAAACTCTGTTCCCCGAAAAACTTCTTGTCAAGCTCTGACGGAGATGAGCACTCAAAGCTTTTCATATCTAGGAGGTAAAATGTTGGATCCCACTTAAAATTACATAATCTCATCTGACCTTAATGAATATATTTATCTTTAAAACCAGTTTTCTTACCTTGAATGACAAAAGCTTTCGCCATTGTGTCCTTGGGCCAGTGAGTATCAGCTGAGCTCCAGGTGGGTTTTAAACTGTTGAAGCTGCCTGTTAATTGACCCAGCTGGAGGTTGGGCAGGTCATCAATCTGGAGGAGGAGGGGGAACATACAGCTTGGTAGAAGTGCAGACACATTTGTGATCACTTTTTGTTTTTCATATATATTTTGTAATTAAATATGTGAATAAAATGTTATTTTAAAGATGTATTTTGTGTGTTTTAAATGTTTTTTTAATTATAAAGAAGAAATTGTCTTAAAAATTACTATTTTTTTTACATTCCTGAGCACTTTTATGTGAATAAATAGGGCTCCAGATAAGAAAATGTACATTATCAATAAATGTGTTGATTACTTTCTCCAGTTAATTATTTAATTTGTCTATATATGTGTTAAAATAATTAAAAGTGCCCATCACAATTTCCCAGGCCCCAAGATGATAGTCGTAATTACAAAGTAGCTGAAAATAGTTTTTATATAATTATATAATAAGTCTTACAGTGACCTGTTTTTGTTTCTCACTTTTAATTATTTTCCATTTTTCTCACAAAACATTTTTATATTAATTTTAAGGAGTCTATACGAGACGGTGTACAGATTATACTCGTCACTATATTGTAAATGTATATGTGGAGGTAATATATTTTATTCGTTTTTTATTTTATTTATTTGACACAAGCGCTTTAAGATTTTATTTTGAAACTGTTTCCTGTCTGGCCCGTGATCCAACGCGCACATCTAATGCGCATCTACGTCACCGCCCGGCCTCGAAGCTGGAGAAGGGCGCGAGATAGAAATCCGGGAGCGCGGACATCTAGGGGGCTCCGCTCCAGCTGGTTTCAAGCTGCAACGTTACCATTCAACAACAGCGGCCACCACCACTGGCCTCCTCAGAAAGACAATAAACAGGCGGAATACAAGGACATAATACCAAATATACACGCACATGACGAGCAGGGGCAGCAGGTTATATCGCCGCCTGACCGTAAACAACAGAAACAGAGGGAAATGTCTTGGTGGCCGCGCGGGTAAGAAGTTGATCTTTGTATTGTATCAACGGTAGCGTTAGCAGCAAGGTTACTTATTTTATCACAGTCATGTTCGACATTACCTTTTTATATGACAGTATTAGTGGCATTCAGTTGGCTAAGTAAAGGGTCTTTTGACGTTATATTACTTGTGAGTACTTCACGGACTCTGTTTGTGCCGCCCTTTTCCGTAGACTCACGATAAACAGGGTTCAGTTTGTATTTAACGCCAGACACTCTGTTAAATCACAGCAACCAAACAAATCTAATACTGTACTGATGTTATACTTTGCCAACAGTAGTGTATGCATATGAGCTAGCCGCCAAGTCTCTGTCAACCATATAAATAAACCTGATAGTCAAGTCTTCCTCGCCATACCATAAGGGCGGGTCAGCAGCTAGTTTCTGCTTTCTCTGTCAGCTTTACTGTTGCACATCACAGCTGTTTGTTTCTCAGTGAGGATGGGGAGGAGGCCATGCATCCAGACACCGATTCTGATGTGGCAGAGCAGAGAGACGGTGGGAAAGTGAAGGTGAAATGGACACAAGAGGAGGTGATTGTCTTGACTTGCCCCAGTTATTTGCATTTTGTCGCAGTGACTGCTGACCCTGTGGCTCTGTGGGACAGGTAACATAAACAAGCTGATTTGTTTATGTTTACAGGATGACAAGCTCAAGGCCCTGGTTCAAAAACTGGGACCAAATGATTGGAAATATATTGCCACCTACATACCAGTGAGTTTGATTATCGTTTTATGGTGCTGATATATAATAAGCTTCAGGGCCTCCTGGGCTAATTTATGGCGACAGAAATCTCGTTCACTGTTTTATTCTTCTTCCGCTTGTTTTGTTTTGCTTAGAATCACACTGAGCACCAGTGCCAGCACCGCTGGTTTAAGATCTTGGATCCAGAGCTGGTTAAAGGCCCTTGGACCAAAGAGGAGGATGAGAAGGTAGGTGACTCAAAAGGTAGCAGTGCAGGGGTTTAACATTTGACAGGTGATAACACTGTGTCCAGTATGATAATTTGAAATGACTACTTACTGAGATGCATTCATTTCTCAGGTTATAGAGCTTGTTAATCTCTACGGCAACAAACAGTGGGCAATGGTAGCGAAGCATCTGAAGGGCAGACTGGGGAAGCAGTGTAGAGAGCGTTGGCACAACCACCTCAATCCAAATGTGAAAAAGTCATCATGGACAGCAGAGGAGGACCTCATCATCTACAAGGCTCACTGTCTGCTCGGAAACCGCTGGGCTGAGATCGCCAAGCTGCTCCCTGGAAGGTAATATTCTCCATCTACATGAGCTCAGAGGGTGGTTTTAACTGTTGGCATGGTTTTGCATGTGGAAATAAATCCTCTCGAAAGGACTTATGTTATTATATTTATTCACAGAACGGATAATGCAGTGAAGAATCACTGGAATTCAACCATCAAACGGAAATTAGAGATGGGCTTCTATGCTGGGGAGGTCTTCAGGCCAAATGAACTTGAAGAGCTGTTGGCCCGTGTTAATAAAGATGTGCAGGTGGGCTGTCCTTAGATGATGTTGTTCTCTAGGATGGATAAAGTATTGAACCGTGCAAACAGTGTTTAAAAAAAATATTTTTTTGGTGACACAGATGCCCAGTTGCTCACAGGATGGTGCAGAAAAAGATCCAGAGCAGAAAACGCATCCCTCAGTAAGCAACCAATCATATCCATTTGAAAAATATCACAATTTAAATACAGGGTGGCCTTGAATAATCAAATCTCTGACAGTGGATGGAAAACACACTTGTATGTTACACAACGGTGATCATATTTTTAATGTCCGTATTCTTACCATTATGATCACCAGTTGCAGGAGATGCCTGTCTCGGCCTCAGTTCAAGCCGGCCCCAGCGAGGCAGGGCCATCAAAGTCTTCGTCCTCTCCAAAGGACAGTCTAAGCCCCAAGACTGAAGCAGACACCTCAGGAGAAATGAGTGTTACCAACTGGGTGGTGGACAGCTCCGGCTTTCTCTCCCCTACTGGCCCAGCACTGAAGGAAGTACTGGACATGGTGGATGGGGTGAGTATCCCCCATAGTGTTGTAAAAAACATTATTGTTGTTAATGCAAAATTGCATTAAATGTCAACGTACACCCTAGTGGAACAACATCGGCAACATGATCCCTTATGTCCAAACCAACAGTAAATTCAATTTCTACAAACGGCACTTTGTCAAACACAGTAGAAAGCATCTGGGTCCAGCAACATTATAGGTGTTGGATTTGGGTCATTGAGCGACATATACTAGGTGGAACAGTAATCAAGATAGATGTTCCCTTTGTTTTAGGTGGGTGCAACCCTTTTTTTTTTGACTATGCTGACTTATAGTAATGCTGACCATAACCCAAAGGACACGATGCTTGATTTAGCTGAATTGTTGTGCATTTGTACTGTTGTAAATGCTTGGCTCAGCCCAGGGGGGCAACTGCCTCTCCTCACCCTTCCCACCCCATGAGACTTGGTAGGTGAACGTGAATATTTACGACATCTTGTCCAGAGTGTTGGCTGGGTGCAGACAGTCACCTGTGTGTTTTTCTGCCCTCCTTCAGCCGCAGATACACCTGCAGCGTCTTCTCTCCTGCAGCTGCTGATTTATCTCTTTTCTTTTGTTCCATCCTCACACAGTTTATCAGGATTGATTCATGTGACTTTTGTTTTCATTCAGTAAATGTTGCTTGCGTACTTCAGTAAAAGTAAAATTACAGATTTAAAAAAAGTACATAAAAAAACAACTTTGTTACAGTAATGAGAGTAAAAGTAATTTGTTTCTTACCCTCTGCTAACTTAGAGAAGAAAAATTGTCATCATGTTATGTCATGACATGTCATGTAGCCTTGTTATAGTTACCTTTTTAATTTAAAGAAAATTAAAAATGTATGCCCTCAGTGTCATTCTTTTCCTGGCGGTATCAAAAATGGTATTGAATATCAATATTTTTCAAGATAATTGTATCAACGTTAGACCTCAAAGTGTCGTGACCACACTTATCCCCAATAGCCAACAAACCACACCGCATAGCATGTCATTTAAACATGTGATTAATAGCTTATACTCCCATCTAGGCTGCTGCATTGTGACCTGTTTTGTCTGTCAATGACAAATAGCATACAAAGTTGAGTTATATACAGATAAAATAGATTACTGCTTCAGTTGTGCATTTTTATTTATATTTATTATTGTATTTAGAAGAAAAAAGCCTCTTATGATGCAATAAGAAATTGTTTAATCTTTATGTTTTATGACCTGTTACCTTTCTTTACACCTCCATACTTTACCAAGCATAGAAAAGATTTAAAAAGTGTAGCTGGTTGTAAAACTTCAGAGTGGCGACTAGATGTCCAGCTTACAAATAAAATGTCTCTTCTGTCATCAGGATCTTGATGGCTGGTGCAACCTAGCTGCCTTCGACCTGCCTGAGGACAGCCCGAGCCCAGAGCGCCATCAGTTTCGTTTGGAGGGCAGCGCCTTGCAGGAGTTAAGCAAAGGCCACAAGGGAGAGCTCATCCCTATCTCTCCTGGAGGGGTCACTCCGCCCTCCATACTGAACCGCCGGAGCCGGAGACGCATCGCCTTGTCTCCGGATGCCAATAATTCCATGACTCCCAAGAGCACTCCTGTGAAGATCTTGCCCTTTTCTCCATCGCAAGTACGTTATTTAATCCTGTATCACTGACTTTGGTGCTGCTCGAAATGTCGCATGAGATTGTCCAATAACTAACACGTGTTGTTCCAGTTCCTCAACATGTGGACCAAGCAGGATACTCATGACCTGGAGAACCCGTCTCTCACATCCACGCCAGTTTGCAGCCAGAAAGCCATTGTTACTACACCACTACAGCGTGACAAGACCCCCCTCACCCAGAAGGAAAACTCAGTGTGAGTGGTCTCTAACCAGCTGATTCCATTTTGGATCCAGTTTCTGGAAAAATACCTGGATTCATTAAGTTTCACTGCTAACAAACCTTGTGTCAAAACTCCTATCTCCCCTCGCTCTCACTCAAGAGTAATGAAAAAACATAATGGTAAAAGGATTCTCTCTTTTTAGCAGATTAGATCAGCTGTAGCTTATTCAGAGTAACT